GCTTCGGTTCAAATACAACCGCTCCACCCGCTGCGAAATCCCGGTACCCTAGAGGCTCGGCCGTAAAACGCCGCAGTGCCTGGGGTACCGTGTCCCGGGGGTCAGGTGTCTTTCTTGGTCTCCCTTCTTCGCCTCTAGAGGCCGGAGGACTTGCAAATGCCCTCATAAGTACCCAGGGCCCGGAATGACCCATTCTGGGGACCATGAACTCATCAAGGAGAGCCCGAGAGCGCGCAGGGAGGAAGGAAGTCCCACCTGTGCGCTTCGTTTCCTTCAGTCACCAAGCTCGCTATGTAACCTTGGACGGGGCGAGCGGCACACTCTCACTGGTCCCATCCTAAGGGAACTAGATGTTGGCTCCACTTGATATCAGATCTGGAGCCCGTTCCCAAGCCCGGTGTCTCACACAGCCTGGGTGGCCCCTGCTTCAAAACTGTTCCAAGGGTGGGAACATTTAATCTCTGGCTCTGGGACGCTTTCCCTGTGTCTCGGAGACCTGCTACACTTCTGTAGCGATGGCTTCTTTCTATAATGGATAGCCAAGGTATGCTTGTGAACGGCTTTAATGCTAAGAGGGGCAACCCCCATACCTCGTGGGTGGGAGAAAGAGACTCATCTTCTTGGCAGGGAACTGCGTGTTTTACTGGCCCTGCAGCCTAACTGGACAATCCCTTTCATCTACCCAGAAAAGAAGAAACAAGTTGAGAAAGGGGGCGTGACTTGCTCAAGGAGGCACAGCCAGGATCCATGTTGCATGGGGACTTGGCTCTGTGAAAGGGCTTAGCTTTCTTTGCCTCTTGCTGGGGAAATGGGCCGGGGGGGGGGGCGGGTGGAGAAGGAGGGAGAGCCAACAGCTCACAAGGGTCAGGGGCTGGGAGGTAGGAAGGTGTGTGCCAATGGGCTGTTTTGCTGGGTTTCCTATGAACTGTGGCCCAGAGGGACACTCCAACACACGTGGGCTCCCACATTTCCCCGGCTTGCTGACAATTACAGCTGAGCCAAGCTGCTCCCTGGGAGTCAAAGAGGCCCCTCTGGGGGTGGCTGTGCAGGAATGTGCCAGGAGGCCTTATTTCTGGAGCCACAGAGGGAGGAATGAGAACCCAGGATCATTTGTCCTCTCAGTCTTGAAAAGACCTCAGGGTGTGGCAGAGCTGTTCTGTCTCCATGGGAACAACTGTCTGCCCTCCGTGGGGGCTTTGCATGCTTTGGAGTGACTATGGACCCAGCCCTGCCTGGGCAGTCCCTTTACCTATGAGAGACCTATGGTTGTTGGGGGAGCCTGGTGTAGCCACTCTAGAAGGCATGGTATGACAGGGGGACCATTGCCTCCAAAGGACCCTGGAATCTGTAAGCCCAGAAGCCCCTGGCCTCCTGTGTCTTCTTGCTGTAAGGGATGGGGTGTGTGTGGCCAAATCAGGTGACCACTTTAACCTCACCTAAGCATGTGGCCTCTAGCTGGTTGTTTCATTTGTCCGTGTCAGAAAAGGGGCCGCGCCAGCTCCCCACAGCGCCTGTGTCACTGATGCATTATGGGCAGTAGGTGAGGTAGTCACAGTGTTTCCTGCGGTGTGGACATAGCAAAGGTGAATGGTTTGTGGTTTGTGGGAGGTGTTGGTCAGGGAACCTGGGGTCTCTGCCTCGTTCTTCTCTGCCTTGATTTCTCCAAATCTGTCAAACAGTGCTTGTTCTGGGTCACTTGCTTGCTCTGGAAGCTTGTCCTTGACTCTGGGAGGAGGATGATCAGAGAGAGCCGATGGGGCATTCAGGTGTGGCTGTGGAGCTTTAGGATTAGTGTGTTCCGTGGTTCACTTCTTGTGTCCCTGGTGGGAGGCAAGGGTACCATTGCTGGCAACTATAGATAAAGGGGCTGACAGTGCTATCCACTGGCTGTGTGCCTGGTCCAGGATTTGAACTCCAGACATTTGACTCAATGCTGTTCATTCCTTTACATACCCTGTCTTGGACAATCCAAGGACAATTGTTGTGTGTTAGTCACTGGAAAAACTGAAGATCAGGCGGGTCCCAGTCATCATCAAGGCCCTGGTGGGAAAAAGATGAAAACATGGATTGTGAACATGCCCCTGCCCCCCATAACATCAAAACGTTGTTGGTATCAAGACAGGACCCAGGAGGAGCAAACAGAAATAAGGAACATGACACCTCTCAACCTCCGGACTCTTAGCTTTGGGCTTACTGACCATGCCTGAGACTGTGTCTAGGAAGCAGATGGGGACAGGTCTCCAAATCTGGAACCCTGATTTCATCTCTAAAGTGATGTCACTCCCTTCCCGGTTGCAGAGACGCTAAGATAAGTCAAGGACAATGCTCTGAGGGATCTAGAGGGGCAGGGATGACCAGAGGCTGAAGTCCCAGTCTATGCTCTTGTTTGTCTTTTACTGCCTTTATGACACAGTGTCACTGGGACCCCACTCTCCCTGGAGCCCAAACTACAGAATCCTAGCATCTTCTTAGTCCAGGTGGGGGGCACTGAGGAAACATGAAGCTCAAAACACTAGGATGATGGTGATTTGAATGAGGAGCATGCACCTGGGAAGTGTGGGCTGGGCTACCTTGACCAGAAACCACATGCCACCGTGGTGTGACAAGGAATTTCTTTCTACACGAATTTCTTTCTTTGGGAAAGAAATCACTTGTCAATCATTTGCTAAACATTTATATATGTTACATTGTGTATAGCATTTGTGTTGATTCTAATTTACACATGAAGCATTTTTTTTTAAGAGAGAGGGTCTCCTAGAGTAGCTAGTTAGCTGAGGAGGACCTCGAACTCCTAATCTTCCTGTCTCTAGCTCCTCTGTGCTGGCATTACAGGCATGTGTTATTACACCTGGTGTATTTGGTGCTGGAGACCAAACCCAGGGCTTCCTGCATTCTATGCAAGCACTCCCCCAACTGAGCTGCATTCTTGGGCCAAGTTTATTTCGAAACAGGGTCTCGATATGTAGGCAGAGAAGGCCTTGAACTCATGTCCCCCTGCTTCAGCTCTGCAGTGTTGGGGTTGTAGACATGCGTTTCCACGTCTGGTTTAAGGAGATGAATAAAAGAAAAAAGGGCAAGGGGATGTCAGGGGATGTCAGCGGGAAACCAGTGTGGCTGTTTGGGGGTAGGTAACTGGTGATCGATGAGCCTGTTCCCTTCTCAGTAGGACCCATTCTGTTATTTTTCTCCAGCCCGGTACAGGCCTCGTGTGTGTGTGTATTTTAAAAGTATGTAGAATGTCTATTACAATTATTTGTTGTACATAGATGCATATGCGTGCCATGACCCATGTATGGAGGTCAGAGAACAACTTTCAGGACTTGGCTCTCTCCTTCCGCCATGTGGGGCTGGGGAATGGAACTTAGAGGGTTGTCAGGCTTGCCTGTGAGTGCTTTATCCAAACTATTTCCTTGTATTTTAACAATATTTTCATATTCCATCATTACAAATAGGAGATATACTCTCCATTATGCCAAATCTTACATAGTATTAAAAAATTGAAAGCTAATAATAAGCATGTTCAGAGTCTTTTAGAAAATTATTCAATGGACTCAAACATTCATCTGTCTGGGTTTAAAAAAAAAAACAAACCCAAGTCCCATTGTGTGATACATGAGTTTCCTTTATTGCGGGGGGCACAAATTTCCCTCTCCATTCGTCCTGCAAGACCTGGCAATGGCAAAACTGGGAATCTCGAAATAAAGACAGAATTTCTTAAAGTTCTCACCTAATTACCCTTCCAAATCATGAAATCGTGACACTTTTGAGCTGGGAGGGACCTCAGGTCACCTGGTCCAGTTTTCTGGTTTAACAATGCAGAGAAGTGCCCTGGCCAAGGTCAACATAGGATATATATGTACATAAGGAGGACAGTTCACAATGGCTGGCCACACCTGTGCCTGACTCTCATGGGGACACCACCTGTCACACTAGCCTGACGCCCTGGGAGCTCAGCCTCTACCTGAGGGCAGGCAGGGAGGCACAGGTGTCCTGCCTGAGCTGTCACTAATTTGACTGAAGACATTGGGAGAGCCAGAGTGTGCAAGGTGACTCATGGACAGAAACCTCACCGAAGGTGGTACATGATCTTGGCTTGGAGTCTTGTTTCCGAGTCCTCTAAGGCTGCTGTTCTTCCTCATCCTATTGGGTAATTCATCCCCGGTCTGCACCGTGCCCTGGGTACGGTCAGTCCTCGTTTGCTGTTGCCAGGGAAACAGGTTCACAGAAGTGGACAGTTCCCTCCAAATCCTACTGCAGGTGAGGGTTAGGGCAAGAAACCCTGCAGCGAGATCTGAAAACAGGGCTTTTTCGTTTTTCCATGTGCCGGGCTGTGAACACATTGTTTTCACTGCCGAGAAGCAGAAAGTCTGGCCAGCCCTGCCTGGCAGGCCACCGGGAAATGGCCTTGTGGAAAACAGATGGGCGGGGTCCTTGTAGCTGTCATGTTGCAGGACTCTCTGAGCTGACAGCCCCAGCCTGGCCACACTGCCCCACGCACAGAACACGCTGTCTGCAGGAAAGAGGGGGTGTGCACCCGGGGCCTGCCTGGTTTTGTCAGGGTGTATCTGGCACACCCTCGGTCAGATTCCTGGCGACCTTCTCTGTTTTGGCTGGAAGGTGTTCTTCCTGCCTGCCCTCTGGAGAGGTGCCCGTGCGCTTCTGTTTCCTAGGTACCTTATGCATAAGATATTCTCAGTGCCCTTGTGTTTGAACTCAGGAGGTCAGCTGTGGCATCATGGTGGCACTTGCAGAGTTCTGGATTTCGGAGCCATTTCTGATTTTCACATTGGGGTTGTTCAACTTGTGTTTAGAAGTCACAGTTTCGGTGGAGAGCAAGAAAATCTTGAGTTCTAATAACCTGAGTTTGTAATTTTACACACAGGGATACTGAGTCTCCACAAGCAGACAAAGTTGTCTTTGCTTTGTGTGTGTGTGTGTGTGTGTGTGTGTGTGTGTGTGTGTGTGTGTGTGTGTGTGTGTGCGTGCATGGAGGGGCCAGACATCCACCCGGGAAATTGTTCCTCAGGAGCTGGCCACCTTGGTTTTTAGACAGGGTATCTCACTGACCTGGGATTGGCCTGATGTGGCTAGATTGCTGGCCAAGGGGCTTGAAGGTTCCTTGTCTCTACTCCTCCCAGAGTTCCTCCTGACTGCTGCCCACCCAGCACTGGGGTTGCAAGTGTGTGCCACCACGTGTCTCTTTGAAAATGTGGGTTCCGGGGATCAAACTCAGGTCATTGTGCTTGCAAGGCAAACAATTTACCAACTGAGCCAACTCCCCAGTTTGACTGGCTCACGTCTTCCAGTCCTTGGGGGTCAAGAATGAACCGCCTGACTCCCACCCAATGCTGTCTCTCACACGCCTCCCCTAGTACTCTGTGCCATTGTTGATGGCGGTGTGACATCATGGCCACATGAAGATGGGAAAGTCGGTTTACTGGGTTAGGCCCCAGCCATCATCGCCAAGCTGGGAGTGGTGGGACTCCAATTAAGGCTCAAGTTTTATGTGAGATCTGAAATGGCTGAGCCCCTCCCAAGAAGCATTTACTAGAATAATTCTGTAGACTGACTCACTGAGGTAGGCTCTTTCCTCCATGATGGGAGGAGCTGACATCTGGCCTTCACCGCTCTCAATTGCCTGCTCTTCAAGGTGGGAGGCTCTACTTAGGCCTCTGTGAACTTTGCTCGCTTGGAAGCCTAGCAATAGGTGTTTGGGGACCTGAGATTTGCCCCTGCGATGTGTCACCCACCCAGGAAGGAACAGATTTCTTAGACTTCTCTCCTATTCTCTAAGTGTTGGGTCTGACATCCTCCCTCCAGCAATGCTTTTGGGTCTCACAAAACCCCACATTCGTTCTGACTTTCCTCCCCTCACTATCTATGGCAAGCAGTTACTTCTGCCAGCTGCCCTTCCCCTGCTATTCCTCCATCTGGTAGACGTCACCTCCTAGAAGATTCCATCGGATTGTGATTTCCGTTTTCTGTCCTCTTGTCCTTTGCTATTGATATTTAATCAGTGGTCTCCAGAACTCAAGTCTGGTTCCCCACCCGCCTGTTGCCCATTCATCTTCACAGCTCACTGGCACCCCAGAGAGAGGCAGTTATAATTATGACTCAGACAAAAGGCTTTCCAGCCTAAATAAGCCCTGACAAATGCTAGGGGAACTCATGCTCCAGGCTGGGGAGTGAAGTGGGCGGGGCAGACCCTAGTGTTTCCAGGCTACTCAGAACCTCAGTGAGCTCTGGAGGGAAGAAGATCTGAGATAAGCTGTGACACCTGTCCTCATCTCTCATGACCCTTGTCATTCAGGGGTCCTGGGAGCTCGGGTGGCCATCACTGGAACTTTGACAATGCCTTGACCTCATTGGTGGATCACACCCAGCTCCTCCCCTTCCCCAGCCTTTCCATTTGGATCTCAGTGCCTGGTTCCTCCTGGTCCCAGCGCCTGAGAGAGCTTTCTGCCCACACAGTAGCACCTTCCCGCATTCACCGGCAGGGTCTGACTGGACCACTGTCTTCCCAGCACTTAGCACTGTCTGAAATGTGAGCTCCTGGTCTGCAGCTGTGTCCATTGTCTGTTCTTTACAGGTGAGTGACACAGGGCAGGGACCGACACCAACCAGCTTTGCCACTCAGTGTATGTTTCCTCCTGGCGTCTCCAGAGGGCTGGTTCCAGGAACCCCGAGGATACGGGATGAACTGTTACAGAACACCTGTGGGAAAGACTTAAGGAAGGGAGGGCTTATCTTGGCTTGGGGTTGGAGGGTACGGTCTGTCACTGGAGGGAAGGCGTGGCATGCCTGGCTTGCCTTCTCCCTATCGCCTTTTAATTCAGCTCAGGACCCCAGCCCATGAGTGCTGCTGCCTGTGCTCACGGGGTCTCCCTCCTCAGGTAAACCTTTCTGGGAACACCTTCCTAACCACACCGGTAGGTTTGGTTCCATAGTGAGTCTACATCCATCACGTGGACAATGAAGAGTAACTATCAAATCTACGACACTCAGATCCTTCTATAACATGTCTTTATATGATTTATACTCACTACATACATCCCCCCTTTCTTTCTAGTGTGCTTCTGTTTGTTCTTAGACAGGGTCTCTATAATCCAAGCTGTTTGTTCTTAGACAGTGTCTCTATCTATAATCCAAATCTGTCTAGAACTTGAAATTCTCCTATCTCAGCCTTCGAGTACTGGATTACAGGCAAGCAGAGCTATATCCAACTCTTAATGTATAGCTTTGGCTGACATGGAATTCACTGTAACCCTCCTGCCTCAGTTTCCCTAAGGCTGGGATTATAGCATCACACTTGAAACCCTCTCTAAATTACATAAGGTAGATGCCATGTGACTAGTTCCTAGGCTTTATTACTTAGGGAAGAATAAAAAAATGAGTCCACTCAGGACAGATGCAAGTATTTTCTGTCTGTCTGGTTGCATCCTTGTAGAAGCAGAGGGCTGATTATGCCTGTGGATTGCAGTGATGGATGGCCTGGGCCATACAGCAGATTCTCTGCCCAGTCTGCTATGAAGGCCAGCCTCTAGTGGGCACTTGCTGCGGGCCAGCATTGCACAGTGTTCTTTACCTCTCCTCATCCCACAGCAATTCAGAGAGGTGTGCTGACATAACCCCTGCTTGACAGAGAGTTAAGTAACCTGGTCTTGTCATCGTCAGGTGCCAATGGGGTTAGGAGTTGAATTCAGGTCCTTGGATCCAGGCATTGCGGCTTGATTGTGAAAGTGGAGGGCAAACCTTCACAACCCTCCCTAGACTTCAACCTTCCAGCCGGGCAGCTCCTCGGTAGCTCCAGGGCCTCTCCTATTCCAAACCATTCCTCAGAGGAAATCCTTTCACCAAGACCGTGCATGGGGCCAGGATGCCACAGGTCCCCCAGAGCAAGAGCCCCACCCTGGAGAACCCTCCCTGTTCCCTCCCCCTTTATCCCCAGAACTCCACTTGCAACTTGTTGGTTAGCCATTGAGACTCGCTGACCACAGACTGGAGGTTGTAGGGAGCACGTGAGCTAGTTGAAGTTGCCAGGTTAAACGGCCGGTCGTTCACCCAGCACTGGGCAGCCAGCCTGATTGTGAAATTTGCTTGCTTGTCTATTTATGGACTTCAAACTCAACTTTGCTTGGATATTATCTTAAGAAATAGATTTTTTAAAAGTTTTTTCCCCCCTTTTAGAGGCCTCTCTTATTTCTGCTTCTTCTTTCTGGGAAAAACCACCCAGATGCCCAGGCTGGCTACTCCTGGGTGAGGTCTTGGCTTCAGTAAGGAGGACTGAGGATAGCCCAGTGAGTTCCTGTGTTTGTCACCCACAGGAAGCAGCAAGGTTAGTCACGAAGCTCCTAGCAGATACTGACTGTGGTCTGGAAGCCAGAGAGACACGTGTTTGTGGCTGGGATCTGGGTTCTTCCGCCCTGTAACCCACATACCCTGGACAACTGCATTCCATCAGCATACTTGACCTTGACTGAGATGGAATGGGTAGCAAGATGCCAGGGACATGTCCCTGCTCTGCTGGAATGGTTTGGTGGGTAGAAAGGGTGCTCTAAACATAGGCCACCCCCAGCTGGTGATGACCTAGAGGGAGGGAAGCTCAGCGGGCTGGGCCTGGAAAGCCTTTAGGTGCTCACACACACACACACACACACACACACACACACACACACTTTTTTCAAGCATATGTGTATATATTATAATGTACAGGAGAGAGCGTGTATATTATAATGTACAGGGGAGAGCAGAGGAAACTCTCTGGAGTCTGTTGTTACCACCCAATCCAGAGAATGGAACTCAGGATATCAGGCTTGGTGGCAGGTCCCCTTACCTGAAGAGTCATCTGACTGATTTGCAGGCCCTTTGAATCTCACCCAAGAGCCGTCTCACTGGGCCTGAACTCCCTTTTCTAGGAGAGCGGGGAGACAGGGCCTCCTTTTATAGTCTTGCTATGTCTGTGTGGTGAGCCTCCAGGAGTCCCTGAGTTGTTTGGTCATCCTACAGGGCAAAGTATTTCTTTTCTTTTCTTTTCTCTTCTTTTCTTTCTCTTTTTCTTTTTTCTTTTTTTGGTTTTTTGAGACAGGGTTTCTCTGTGTAGCTTTGGAGCCTATCCTGGAAATCACTCTGTAGACCAGGCTGACCTCGAACTCACAGAGATCCACCTACCTCTTCCTCCCAAGTGCTGGGATTAAAAGTGTGTGCCATCAACACCCGTTTGGCAAAGTATTTCTTACATCATCTCTCTATGCAAAGGTCAATTCCACGTCCTGTTTAGTCAGTTTCTGTGTATTCCTGGGCCTATGGTGCAGTGTGACAGATCTGGTGGGACCCTGGTTTTCTCGCCTGCAGTATATCTTGGTCATCTTGTAACCTTCTTGTACAGGGCTAACTCGCCTGGCCAAGGAGCTGGCCACACCTTCCCTGATCCCTGAACATCCATCCCTGAACAACTCCCCCTCTTCCTGAGTGCTCCCAGGTGGGGAGGACAGGCTGCCTCCTCCACCCAGGGCACCTGCAGGGAGCTGAGCTGGCACAGCTGCTGGTGACTGTGCCCTAGGCTCAGGTGATGGTATACAAGCTACACACCTCAGTTGCCTTTTTCTCTTATGGAGTTAACCAGGGTGTAGGGAGTGTCAAGGTCTCTACAGTGGAACCCAGCACAATGAGTGGAACCTGCTGTCTGATTTCCAGCCTTGGTTCTCAATGTATAACCCAGAAAAGGGAAAAGCTCCAAGCCAAGGGCAATGCATGACTGACAGAGAAACTTGGTATTACGATCTCAGAGCACCAGATATGTTGACAAGGACAACCTTGAACTTCTGATCTGCCTGCTGCTACCTCCAGAGCCATGGGATTACAAGAATGTGCCACCAGCACTGTGTGTGTGCTAGACAAACATTCTAGTAGCTGAGCTGTATCTCTGGCCCTCTCTGGTTCCTGTAACAGTCCTGATTGTAGGATATTTTCATGGTCACTTGGGTTGCTAGTGGGTGAATAGAGCTAGAAACCTGTGGGAGTGAGGCTGCGTCCTTGTTTCAATTGAACACTCCCAGACAATTCTGATGGTTGGGGATAGCTGAGGACCCTGAGTTAGCCTGGGATAGCCTGGGACACTCCAGGGTGGCACTAATCTGTCCTCTTTCCGTCACTCCCCTCACACACAGTCCTGGGCTCAATTCCCAGCACTGCCTACATCAAGTGTGGTGGTGGCACGTTCTTGCAATCCCATGACTCTGGAGGTGGCAGCAGGCAGATCAGAAGTTCAAGGCTGTCCTTGTCTACAAACGGGAGACACCATCCAGAAAGAGGTACTCAAGTCTGTTTGTGTCCAGCCCACTTATTTCTTAGAATGTGCAATAAGTAGGCCATTGATGTGCGTCCCTTTTTGAGGCAAAGATAACAAGTTTCCTTTCAAAGTCAACTTAGGAGTGACTGAAGGAACAATCTATACTTTTTTTTTTTTTTTTTTTTGGGCTCGGTTCCATTCGTTCCTTTGAGACACCCTTGCAGGGCAACCTGGCACCGTGCTGGGAGGCCAAGTGTGTGCATGTCCAGGCGTGTCATGTGTACAAGTGGCTGAAGGGTGGGGCCCTCACCTCAGGTGCAGATAACCCAGGACTCTCCAGAGGCAAGGATACAGTGATGAGTGGGTTAGCAAAGGGGTTTTCCGGGCTGGTTTTAGTCAGACTGGGGCTGGTGTGGAGAATTCTCTCAGTACGATGTGTTTGCCTCTTCTCCAGCATTCTGAGATGCTTCTCTCTGGTCCTCGGGATCTTTCCCTGGAGTCACCATTGCCCTGCAAACTTGGTGAATATATTACAGGACTTCAGTGTCCACGGGTGTCCGGGTCTCACTGGCTCATGGGCAAATTGGTCATTCAGGAGCCCTGGGTCAGGAGGTGGCCCTGTTGGTTGCCAGGACATGACATGGTTCACACCTGAATCCCTGTACTTAGGAAGGCTGAGACAGGAGCATTGCCTTGAGTTCTCCTCCAGCCACAGCAGTCTGAAGTAGGTTTCAATGCTGTGTCTGCTGATTGACTGAAAGTAGATAAATCATTTGATTATTTAATCAGCAAATACCCAGCCCCTTCTGGACAATGCCCTTGCTGGGCCCTGCAGGAGATTACAGCCAACTGATCTGGGAACTTGCTGACCGCATTAATTTAATCAGCTTCTTTACCCTGAGGTTGGAGTTCTCCTAACTCCGTCCTGCTGGGCCTCACATTCTTGGAGGATCAGTGTTGTTGAGGGGCCTCCCCAACTCCCACAGCTGGGGTTCTGAGGGGACTGCTCCACAGAGAGTTCCAGGCCGGAGGCTCCAGCCTACAGACAAACATTTGGGAAGGATTATGGTTTTTGTTTTTTTCTGAGTGTCTTCTGGACAAGTGAAGAAGGTTCTGGAAGGAACAGGATTCTGGAGTGGCCATTTGGAAGAATGTTGCCAAACAAGAGTGGAGATGAGCCTATGATTAGTTTAAACCTTGGTGTTTTTTTTTTATTTTAAAACTTAGCATCAATTTTTGCTTTATATTATGATGATTGTTTTTTAATCTTTATGTAGTTGTTTTATTTATTTTTAAGTCTT